CAGCGTGTGGCGCGGGCTCCTCCCCCCCAGCCTGTGCCGAGAGCAGCTTCTGCTTGTTCTTAAAATAAAGCCGGGAGCAGCAGGCGGTAGCGGCCGCCCATCCCTTAGCCTGCTCCTCGCCACCCTCGCAGCAGGATCCGGCTACCGGCGGGGACCCGTCTGCTTGTCCCTGCCTGGCACATGGTGGGTTTGGGACCCGGCTGGATCCAGGGACTCCCTGGCGGGATGGGCTGGTCCTGGGAGCGTCGCCCAACCTGGCTTGCTGCATGCTGGGGGTTGGGAGAGCCCTGGGTGGGCCTGATCCTCCTGGGTGCCCGGTGCTGAGCCTCGGGAAGAGGCAGGAGGACGGATCCAGCGGCAGTCAGGGTCGCTGGAGGGGACACCACGGGATGGCTGGCACTGCGGGGCTGGGCATGCCCCAAACCCCCTTGGGTGGGAACATCACGCTCCGTGGCCACAAGGGATGGAGCATCCCGGGAGTGGCGTGGTCCATCGGCCACCAGCCCAGGCACCCGGTGACAGTCCTTCCCGTGGCCAACCGGTCCGTGGAAGCCCCTAAACTGCCATCTCAGGGCTGCTCCGGCCCCTTCCCTGCGGCGGGCAGGGTTGGTACCCGATGTTCAGACTGGGATGCTCTCCCGTGCCACTGAGGCTTCCCATCCCCGCTCCGTGGATGCGCATCCCCCCCATGACCCAGAAACGATGCTCCCTGGGTTCAGTCTGGTTTTCACTCGAGCCCATCAGTGTTTTGCAGAGCAAACACTTCCGTAAAGGATGCTTTGAATTTTTTGCGCTGGGGTTTGGTGCAGAGCCCGGCTCCGCTCGGCTCTGCCCGCTTGCGTGCGGAACAAAAAGAAAGTGTCTGACACCCAAAATAGCTCCATCCCCCCCCATCATCGGCAGCCCCGGCGCCGCGGGTGCTGCAATATGAAAAGGTCTTTTCGTACCGGAAAATGATGTAGGTGCTGCTTTGCCTCCTCCCAGTCTTAGTTGTAGGTGTTGGGTTAAGGCCAGCTCAACCCCGCAGCAAACCCACCCTGAGACGGTGGGGTCCCAGCCAGCCGTATCCTGGCGCCAGGCCTGGGTGGGGTGGGACCG